CAGTCATTCAGTCCATAATCAATGAAATTGTGATACATGCACACGAAACTATGAAATAAAAACATCATACATCATACTGCATTTAAAACTGTAAAATAGAACAAACAATAACTGACCGACAAATACACTAGACTCGAGCTCCATTAGCAACCTTAAACAATTTCACACAGCTATTGATTCATGAAATACCATTTTATCATTTATTGCACTTTAATACCGTGATAGGAAATAGGGTGAGGAATCCTTACTTGTTTCGGGGTCTGAATACGGCTCTACAGTGTGCCTACAGGCTATCCCTAATTTTTCTTGAATTTTTTTCGGGGAACTGAAACACACTACTGGTACCTGCACGTGTCCCAAAAATCCCAAATTAGACCCAGAGCTCCTTTCGGCCAATATCGCAATTCCAGCACGGCGGCGATTCACCTCGGGTTGGCCGTTTTCGACCGTTTCCAGCCGAATTCGGCCACACTTGCATCGGTCCCTGCGATAAAACAGCCCTCGGGGGGCCAAAAAATTATGAAAAACCGAAGCTTACCGGCGGCGGTGCTCTCGGGTACGGCGACTCTCCGACGAGGTTCGTGTTTTGGTGATTTGGCTCCGATCAACCTGTATAGAAAAGAATGGTGATCACAGTGATATAAAAATTGTATCAAACGGAGGCCGGGAAGGGCCTCATCGGAGGCCAAAACCGAGGAGGGGCGTGACGGCGTCGCTGAGTTTCGGCCGTATTTTCCGGCTGTTTGGCCGGGAGTTTGGCTCCGATTTGGCAACAGGGGAACTCAGCATTGAAAAACGAGTCGGGGTATGAAATTTACCTCGATCGGTGATTGAAAAACTCCCCGGTGCGGCGGCGGCCGGCTCCTCCGGCGTTTGGTTCGTCTTCTCCAACGAGGGCAGGTGGCTAGGGTTTTTGTGGTCAGGTGTGAGGGTTTTATTTATACCTTTTTGCCTTTTAATCACAGCCGTCCATCTTGATTGAATCTGGACCATTTGTACTTGATTGCATCTGGGCCGTCCGTGCGCACGCTTGATATGGACCATCCGTGCGCGCGGGGACGCATTTGGGTCGTCCGATCGCGCGCACGCGGATCGCCCACGTGGTCCGTTCCCGGGTCGATGTGGTCTTGCCACGCGGTAGGTCCTGGTTGGCCAGGGCTGCTGACTAGGCCGCTGACGTGGCTGCTGACGTGGCGCTGACGGGGCACAATTTTTCTAAATTGCGTTTTGACCCCCGATTTTCGATTTTCTTTTCAAAAATACCCCCATAATCTAAATTTTCACCCTTTTTTTTCCAAAAT